ACAGGACCACCTTGGATGGTAGAACACGTTCGAAGCAAGCAACCCGAACATATGCGGACCGTTTAAGGGTCCATGTTGGAGATGTCCTAACCTAGCGTTATCCTGCGGCTTTGCCCAAATCAAACAAGCTTACAAATGCCTCTCTCGCTGTCTCAGCCTCCAAACCTTGAGACGGTGAAATGGACATGCGTGTCATTCTCAAGCCTTGCGTGCATAACCACACCTCTCCGAGTTTATTACAGCTGAGCAGTTTATTACAGCTCCGAATAATTGGCGGTCCGCTGGCTGGCTTATTGGCAAGGAACGGTAGAGAAGAAGGGCGCCACACCACGCAAAAACACCCAAGATGCCCAACAACCGAACGGCGACGATCGCCATCGCCCAGCCAGGGCAACAGGATAGGGGAGAATCGGCCAATGCGGGTCGTGTGGGTGCACAAGTTCCATTTCTGACGAGATGGATTGCGTCGGTTGGAGGGATCCGAGCTTCTGTTTCCCCAATAGTTTTGGGCCAAATCAAGTCCCCATCGCCGTCACTGTTCACTACCTTGTGTGCGAACCGCTGATATTTATCGGGAGAGCGAAAGTAAAGCGTTCCTTGAAACAATGGACGGGCATGGTCCAAGGTTGGTGCGCTGTCCGTCTCCGTCCGTCCACGGATTTTTGGGTTAAAAAGAAAGAGCTAATCATTTCTCCCCCCTAACCTAGATGACCAGCTATCTAGACTAGACTTACATAAGCAACATGATTCTTCGTCTTGTGATCTAGAAGAAGCTTGGGACAATTCCAGTAACAGACGCCAATTTTTGGCTATTTGGGTAGTCGGCGACGGTCCTCTGAACTCAATGTTGTCCGGCAAAATTTTACTCCCTCCATCCCATATTAGTTGCCGCTGAAACGGATATCATACTACCCCTTAGAAGATGTCACGAAAGATTGACAAAAACTTTCATGATTTGCCTGTCCTTTCGGCGCAACTTTTTCGGTGTGCATCAAACTATGCCAGTAAAGACAAAGGGGCGACGGGGTCCCAGGATTCCATTGTTTTTGTTATCTCCCTTCTATCATGGTGAGAGCTTGATCCAAGAATGACCTATAAGATGAGAACTCGCAAAAAGAGGAGCCAGCGCACGCTAACCAAAGTGGCCGGCCAACACAGCGAAGCCAGGTAGACAAATGCACAGGGTTTTGCCTGTCCGGTGGAAATCTCAGAAAAGGAAATTTGCCCAGACCTAAATCTTGATGTGACGCACACCTATCAAGCATATATGTAGAAGGTCCTGGAGCCCGTTGAAGTTCAGCATTCGGGCTTACTTACTGGAAAGAAGAGGCGCTAAGCATCCTTGAGAGAGGTGATTATCAACTACAAAACCGTTGCTTAAAGGATATCAGCTACAGATAGTTGCTTCATAAGAACCCAGAAGCTACTTCTCATAATGAACTAACAGGTAAAACGTGCATTATTTCTGCTGCAACATTTGCAGGGAACATCAACATAGATTCAGCAATCCATCAACAAAAAAGAGCAAGCTTGTATGAAGCCCTCAGATAGGAAAGGTAATGTTGTTTGTTAGCCGTTCGCAATGGCGGGCACAACTCACGGAAACCGATTTTCCGCTCTTCTAAACTGTAGGTAGGCTTCGTCCGATGCTTCCCCTCCCACGATCATCCGCTCCAACCGAACTGAAATGTAAGTAGGGGACAAACCATTACTAACATATTTGCAGGGATATGTGCAGGAAGTTCCAAAAATAATAATTAACAGCAACTGTTTATTCAAATTTCACTATGCCAATATTTATTGTTTTCCTATTAACATGAGCATTTCTTAATGAGATAAGATCGTCTCCACAAACGACAACCAACTCTAGATATCCATGTAGGAAAGAGATGCCACACTAGCAAGGATAAAATTAATGAAGCGGCCTAGTGTGCTGCACATCAACTATTATAATTTTTCAGTGGAAAGTACACACATCCTAAGCACACTACTGTAACTCTGTCGACAGAGTGTTGACATTATGCTATTCTGAAACAGACTGGACTGCAGGCAAAAGAAAAGGAGTATGACTTGATAATATTGTCTAACGAAGAGTACATCAGTGTAGTCAGTCCTGTGGAAGGAAGAGGCATGATAACATTGGGTAAAGAATATTTAAGCAACTTTACTAGCCTTTCTGCACTTCACTGTGGACTTGCACAAAGTACATCCACGATTCTTCGCTGTACCTAACATTATCCAGTCCTAGCAAAAGTTACATCCATGATTCTTGGTTTTAAGCACAACTTGTTTCCATTAAAGTATCTTAACTCTGTAACTGCACCTGAGTGCAACTGTTTGGATGCACTAAACAAACAAAGATGATTTGTTCTTTTGTGCTCTCTGCTTGCCCCCAAGCCTACATTCCACGAGTCTTGAAGCACTAAGGCACTATGGTCATTACTGTAGTGGGTTGTTGAAAATCAGGCCATAGAAGTGCTTTATGAGTTGTTCTTTCCGCTTTTACAGGGAAAAATGAAGCACCCCAGACCACAAATAGCAGGCATGAAAGAAAAATAAAATGAGAAGTCAACTTAGATACCTCAATTTCTCAGTCCAACTCTAACTCGTTTAACTATCAGCGATTGGGAATCCATGACCAATCAACTGACTTAATAACTTTGTAGCGAGTTGAGCAATCCCACTCAAGAAAATTTAGTCCTACCGCCCTAGCCAAAATTTCTCATTTCACATAGATGAAGGTCAAATTTATCGATTTAACAGCCTATCCGACACCCAGTGTTCCATCTTATGGATACCTACACCAACATTTTCTGTATAGACTAATATCCTGAGTTTTGACCATCTTTAAGTGGAATGGTACGAAGTGTAAGATTCCATGAAGTTCCAAATCGGAATATCAGCTCCTTTAAAAGCAGAGTGCGCGTTCCTACATTTAAGTGCACTGATGTAGGATATGCTACCGGTTAAAACAGCTAACATAAAATGACGGTCTCGTATCCGGAACAGTCCACCTAAGCAAATTCTGAAGCAAAGAACATAAATGTTATCAGTGGAAAAATAGCATGAGTATGAAAATTACCCCCAAGTCTGCTCAAGCCCTCATTCGCCGCTTAGGCTTCTTGACAAAGCTCATTTTGAGCTTGTACAGCCGCTTGCTCTTTAATATCTTCTTCTCCGGTAAAGTCAGCTTTTTCTTCACCTTCTTCTCCTTCTTCTCTTTCACATACCTCTTGTCAATCTTATAGACTCCTGGTGTCACGGTAATCCCACGCGCTACTGCCTCCCTGAACAGTGCATTTGAACGATCCCCTAAGTTATGCCTAGCCAACTTCTCAATCAGCAGGCTATATGATTTCGTTCCAGGTGCATGCCCGTATCCTTTCATCAGGCGGAACACCTTGACAGCATGCTCAACCCTCTCAATCCCACATAAAACCTTGATGAACCCATAATATGCCTTCCTATCAAGTTTATCTCCAAAACCTGCAGACCGCATCCAAATCATCAATTCATCCCCTTCAGAGATCCTGGCAGCCTGGTACAAGCTCTTGATAAGCACAAGATATGTGTCAGCATCTGGCGAGCATCCCCACTCGCCCATTTGTCGGAACAGCTTCATTGCATCCTCAGTCCTGCGAATCTTACAGAGATTTTTTATCAGCACCCGGAACGTTCCCGCATCACGGGGAATGCCATTGGCCTCCATGTCAACTAAGAACTTCTCTGCCTCTACAGGCATCCTTAACGGGTCTTTCTTGCGGCAGAGACGGCAAACACAATCAAGAACAGCATTGTAGGCATCCAAACCTGGCTGGAACCCACCATTTCGTGTCTCACCGATCAGCCTTAGCGCATGGTCAAGCTTACCAGCATCAGCATAACCAGATACCAGCAAAGTGCAAATATTGTCATCCGGAAAGATCTCATGGGCGATCTTCTTGACAGCACGCTCTGCAAGCTGTGGGAAGCCCTCGGACGAGAGGGAGGAGACCAGCGAAGTGAGCGCCCCACGGGTGCGAAGCTCCCCAGGCAATTCGTCGAACACCTTGAGCGCGTCCGTGGCGCGCCCAGCTCTCGCCAGATGAAAGAGGTAGGCGTCGACTGTGTCTGGCCCTAGCGCGGAGGGGAACTCCTGAAGGAGCGTGCGGACGGCGGGAAAGTCGCGGCGGCGGGCGAGGTGGCGGACGACGAGAGCGAGAGCACCGTCGGAGGGGTGGAGCGAGCGGCGGACGAGGAAGCGGAAGAGGTCAGCGGCGGCGCGCGAGGTGGCGGGAGGGGAGAGGGAGAGCGTCTCGGCGAGGAGCGCGTTGGTAGGGCGGACGTCGGAGAAGTGGAGGGAGAAGTAGGCGTCCGGGGAGGTGGCGGGGGCCGGGGTGGATGAGAGCTTGGTGACCGCCGCGGCGAGGGAGGAGGCGATGGAGGTGGTATCGGTGGTGGAGAAGGGGGTGGGGGTCGTGGAGAGGTGGCGAACCAACGGGGAGGGGGTGCCGGCGGTGGCCGGAGATGGTAGGAGGCGGCGGAGGAGGTGGCGGCGCCACATTTTTGGACGGGAGGAGATCGAGGGAGCGATGAGGGTTAGGGGAGGTTTCCACTTCCACTGGGTGCCAGATCTAAGAGGCGCTACTAGGTGCAATCCCTGACGTTGATCTGAGATCGGCCGGCGAGGACGGAGCACGGGAGCAGTGGCGAACGACTTCCATTCAATCGTGTAAACATGTAAAAAAAACTTACTGAATTTTATCCTAGGCTATTTCAAAGGTGTGATATGGGCGTGTTTGATTGACATACGAGTTAGCCTTCTGTTTGGTTTGTCGCCACACTTGTAAAAGGACTTTTTCATGCAAATTAGACCCCACATGTCATTGACTCGGAAAAAATATGGCAAGATTATCCAAGTATGGCGAAGTGTGCCCTTATTTCTACATCTAACCTTAGCCATGGTAAAAAAAAGTGTAGCGAATGATGGCAAGCTTGAACATTTGAAATAGCCATCGTGCTGGAGTATCTCGAAGTGAGTTAGTGAGTGGTTCAGGTTCTGTCTCGATCCCTCTAGTACTTTGTATATAAAAACGTGAAAACATATATAATATGAATTTTCACTCACATTCCTTTTCTCCTCCCTGCCCCTCCCCCCCCCCCAAATTATTTTTTTCCTCGATGTAGGGATTCAGAGGCGGCGACATGGGCAAACAAATGAGCAACAATGGCAACCATGTAGGA